ATGTATAACGCAAAATATTTTTAAATCGTTAAGAAATAACTGACAATGACCTATTGTGAAAAATATATCCAAATCTTCTACAGCTTTATGATGCCTTTCTGAACTCTGCCAGCTCATGATTACCTTTCCTTTCTCTAAAGTTCATAGCATCCATGTGTCCATATATTGTCATGTACTATGTAACCTTTTACATATGTAACTTATTCCTCTAGTAAAACTAGGAGGTCAAAGAGGTAAGTACACAAGAAACAAATTATTATACTTGAATACAAGGCTGTGCTCTAGTCAAAGAACCCTGAACTAATAATTAGGAGGAAAAGTTAAAAGTTTTTCACCTACTACCTAAAATTATTTCATATCTCTGGATATCACCATTTGAAAAATTACAGTAATTCAGGATCATAAAGAAGACATCACAAGAAAAGAATTCCCAATCAAATTATATTCTTTTGCTCAATGACAAATTATATATCTACTATTGTAATGCCTTTCTAGGCAAGGCATAGTGGAACATGCTTGTAATCTCAGGTGCTTAGGAGGCAGAGGCATGGAGTATCATAAGTTTAAGACCAGCCCAGGCAAAGTGAATGAGACTATATCTCAAAAATGAAATATTTGAGACATTGTATAGCCTTTCTTTATTGAAAATAGAAATGGTTTAAGATTAGTAATATCGAGACAAAGTTGGTTTCCTATGTTTTGACTGAGGAAGAAGGTTAAATTATACCTTAGGAAAGTACATGTACTTATTATATATAGTAGTTGACAAATAGATGTTTTCTTCTTAATAGATACTTAATAGATACTTTTTTAACCTTGTGGGAAAAAAATGAAATGCAACATGACAAAATGGGTGGGGGTAGGGAAGCACTTGGAGTATTGGCTCAAGAGATAGAGGCTTGGTTAGTATTCATTAAGTCCCTAGGTTCAATTCCTGGTACTACACATACCCACACCTCCACCCTTTTAACCCCCAACACTCAAACACCCATGCTACCAAAGTCTGCTTTTCCTCGCCCCCAATACTTCCTCATGATACAATTTTAGAATTTAGTTAAAAGTTTTAAAAGAAAGAAATGGTAATAGATTATTGAAAAATGAAAAGCACTGTAGAATAGCCCAAAGCTCTGCACAGAGTTTTCCATACCTTGTACCTTTTCTGCTGCCCAGAACTTCCCTGCAGTCTCCAGAATCCACGCTTCCTTCCTATCAGCTATTAGGAAACTGTTATGATAGCTAAACTCCATCCTTCCTTCAGTACAATTTCCACCCTGGCCATATTTTTCTAGTAAATCAACGATGACATCGAGGGCTTTTTCAGCTGTATCAGCTCTTTCAAGGCCAAGTCTAAAAGAAAAATATTGAAGTTTTCTGATTAAAATAAATTTATTTTAATTTTGAGACTTTGCTTCACATTCAAAGTAAAATATCCTTCAAGTTAACAGATAAAATGAAATCTAACTTTTAAACTTTTCCTCAGAAGTCACTTTGGTATTATGAAAAAAAAAGTTTAGAAGCCAATAAATGTTTTGGAGTCAAGTTTTTTGAAGTCATATGTTCAAACTCCATCTTGGTAATTTATTAGCAAATTACTTTATCTCTGTTATTAACCTCATTGAGGTTAATAATATATACTCTATGAGGCTATTATGAGATTTAGTTAAACTTTTGATAAAGCACATTAGGCACTTCCAATGAATCATCATTTCCAAATTCTCTTCTCTCAGTTAATAATATTTGAGAGTCTAGAAGTTCATGCTGGTACTCTGAAGCATTTTTACATAAACTGCAAAGTATAAAAGCCAAAAGAGAGAAAGTAGGAAAATAAACTAGGTAAGTTATACCAAAATTTAAATTTAGACAAATTGTAGAGTGAAAAAATATAACCTGACAAGGTCCATGCCCAGTAGTGCTTCCTCATTACAAACTTCTTCTCTTCCCCATACAGCTTCATTCCCGATGCAAACTCCATGCTCATTGGCTCCCATTTCTGCTCCCCACAACCAAGCTGGACGACTGAGAACAACAGCATATGTCTCAGGAACTTGATCAATTTCTATGTAAGTACACTGTAAGAGAAAAAGTTATACAATAACTACAAAACTATAAAAAGAAGTTATCTAAACTCAGAATTTAAAACATCATTCTGAAGATATGGCCATTATGAAGGGGGTAAATAAATCAAAATTTTCCATAATAAAGGCATCAACCTTAAAATATTTTACACCAATGAGAATCCTTCCTATCTATCTAAAATGAAACCCCAATTCAAACATTCTTGATCCCTAGTCTGGAGTAAATGCCTCCCACCCGCAGCATGCTACTCCTCAACTTTAGACTGGGATTGGTTGTAAATATAGCCTATTCCTAGACAGGCTCCTATAAGACATTGTCTATAAGACATTGCCTAAGTCTTATCAGCTGATTTTAAAATTCCTTCTTATCTAATATAATTACATATAAAAACATTGTAAAAAGCATTGAAATATTTGATTAAAGAGTTAACAATTTTATTGTTATTCTAACTTCTAAATTTTTGAAATAGAAGACAGAACTCTATATTCTGTTCAAATTCTTTTTCAAATTTAAATTCTTGAATTTTAGCTTCTATAGTCTTCTGCCAATTGGTAGCTAATGATAAGAATATTTTTATTATACTTCTAAAGAAATTGCTAAGAAGACATGTATTTCACCTACCTTAAGCTGCTCTCCCAAATTATCATGAACTGCAGCTGAAAAGTAAACTATCTCTTGTACTTCATCGAAGAGTCTATCTGAATTTTTTCCAAAAATAATCCTATTATCAGTGGTTGCAGGCGGTAATGCCACAAATGAGTCACAGGAACAAGGCTCCATTCTGAAATAAAAATTATATGGAAATTTCAAAATAAAAAGAGAAAACATTATACACAAAACAGTTTTCCTCTATAACTAAAGGGTATTATTGTCATATCTAATAGTGTTCATTAAAGTTTTAAATATCATATACTATAGTTAAAATTTTTAAAAAGTAAAAGGAATGACAGAAGCCAGGCACTGATGGCTCAGGACTGTAATCCTAGCTACTCAGGAGGCTAAGATGTGAGGATCACAGTTTGAAGCCAGCTGGGGCAGGAAAGTCTGTGAGACTCTCATCTCCAATAATTTACCAAAAATCCAGAAGTGGAGCTGTGGCTCAAAGTAGTAGAGCACTAGCCTTGAGTGAAAAAGCTCTGGGACAGAGTTCAGGCCCTGAGTTCCAGCCCCCAATTGACCAAAAAAATAAAAAAAAGACAGGAGTCAATCAGACACACCAATCAATACAAAAATGGGTAATGAAGAGTACCTTCTTCTTGTTTACAGGACAAATTTGCTCTTAGAACTTTTTCTCCTTAAATCTTCTCTTAATTCCTTTCACTATTTCTATATTTGGGATCTCTACACCTAATTTAGTGTTGTAAAGGCTATATAGTCTACTATATTTGTGTACCTACATGCATCCCTTTGCTAGACAGTAAGATCCTTGATAGGAATAATTTTTATTAATATTTGTGTTGCTACCATTGAACTTATGATGAGAAAAGAGGTTAGAATTCTTTCTGTTCATTTTTGAGTGTATTTCAACCCTTCCATCTTGGCTCTTCTATCCAGTTAGTTCCTGCAATACATACTTTTGACAGGCTACATAATTCCTCTGTTTCCAACCTCATCAATTAAAAAAAAAAAAAACCTGTCTAATGTGGTCTATTAGGAGAATCCAACAAGCCATAACATAGTAGAGCCCTCATATTGTGAGAGTAAATTCCTTAACAAATGAATTATTCCTTAGGGGAAGAGAAGGGCTGGTATTATTAGGTTTTAACTCAGGACCTCCAGCTTGCTCAGGTGATGTGCTACCAACTTGAATCGTGCCTCCAGCTCAGCTTCCTACTGGCTATTTTGGAGATGAAGACTTACCAGTCTTTTCTGTCCAGAATGACTTCGAACCCAGTATTCTAGATCTCAACCTCCTAAATAGCTATGATTGCAGTTGTGAATCACCTGTATCCAGCTAAGGTTTATTCTTAAATTCTTCCCAGTTAGAGAATTTGGTTGGTGGATCCCACAGAGTATTAGTACCACCTTCACTCAAAACCTGTAGCCTTGAGCAGGGATGTGGATCAGTGGTAGAGCTCTTCCTACCTGCAAACACGAAGCCCTGAGTTCAAACCTTAGCATCACAGAACAAAACAAAACAAAGACCTAAAAAAATAAAAAATATATAAAAATAAAAACTACAACCACTGGTGACGTAAAGGTCATCTAAGGAGACCCAAAGGTCATGATATGCGCCTTGGTAGTCAGAACTAACGGGGTAAGGAACTTGCCGTTCAGTTGGGCCGGGGGGGGGGGGGGAGCCTGGCCTCTAGCTAGGTGAAACTTTGACCACCCCACCCAACGAGTATTTATCATTCAACATTTATTGAATTTCTGCACAAGCCACCGTACTATTGAGAACGAACGAGGGCCCCACCCTGAGGAAATCCCCTTCTACTTTATAGACTTTTATTCAAATGCTTTGGGGAAACCTCACCTGAGGACTAAGGGTAGGACAAAAGTGACCATCTCCACACAACAGGAGCAAAGCCGTAGAGAAAAGATGTTGCAATTGATGTCAGAGCTACTAGCAACCCAGGCTTACACTTGAAGCCCGCGGGTACAGGCCATCAGGCTGACCCCGCACCCCGCGGGACCCAGCACCCCGCGGGACCCAGCACCCTGCAGGCGGCGCTCACAACGCAACTGGCGCAGCTACGCCCAGCAGCCCACGAGAGCTCCGCCACCACCCCGGAGCCCGCCCGCCGAATCTGTACCTCAACTCCGCAAGCCCCTCCCTCACGCACGGCCCTACCCCCACGCACGACCCTCCCCTCGCGCACGCCCTTACTCAGGCCTCTGAACTCGCTGGAGTGACAGCCGAAAGGGGAGGGAGTGGAGGCGCTAGTTGCCGGAAGTTGTCACCTTTGACCGCGGAAGTTCTCGCTGCAGCTGGCGGTGCAGTTCCTACTGGGCGGCAGAGTTTGTTTACGTCGCTCTCCTCCGGCAGCTGGCTTCCCTCGCTCGGGCTTCAAGATGGGGAAGTCCTTCGCTAACTTTATGTGCAAAAAGGACTTCCACCCCGCCTCCAAATCCAACATCAAGAAGGTGAGTGGAGGGATCCGGAGGGGAGTCTTGCCAGGGTGGCGTCACGGGGCTCCGCGGACAGTCGCCCCTCGTAGGCCCGAGCCGCGGGGCGAGCCGAGCCCGCGGAGGCATCCTCTGTGGACTCGGTAGACGCCGGGCGGGGAGGCCCCCGCCCCTCCGCCGGCTCCGCGGGCTTGAGTGGAAATCATCCCCAGGGGAGGCACGCCCGACGTCCTCGGTGCTCCTCGGCTCGGGGCCGCGCTTCGCCAGTAGGTGAAACTCACATCTCGCTTCCACTCTCCCTCCCTTCCCGTTTGCTAGTGTACGGTGTCCTGAGCTCGCTGACGTGTAAATTAATGACGAGTCTTAAGTGCAGAATAAAGACCACGGTGGAAAATGATAGTGGTGGGGGAAAAAAAGCTGAATGGTAACGTATAAAGTGCCTGGGCTTTGGACATACACCTGCATTCTGGTTATTCCAGCAGTCACTATCAGCTCTGAGGCCTTGAATAAACTATTTAAAATCACAGATCTTCAGTCTTCTACTCTACTAGTGAAGAATGGCCGGTGTTAAATTGGCTTGACTTGTAAAATTGTGCTGAAGATTAAATGAGAAAATATAGAAAAACTATTTATAGTAAAGTGAAGGCCCACTGTGTATGCCACAGGAGTACTCGAGCATATGTTAAATGCCTTTACACACAAAGCTATGAAAGTAAATTCGCTCTAGGGGCTGGGAAGGTGGCTCAGAGGTAGAGTGCTTACCTTGCATGCATGAGGCCCTGGGTTCAATTCCTCAGCACCACATAAGCAGAAAAAGCCGGAAGTGGCACTGTGGCTCAAGTGGTAGAGCGCTAGCCATGAGCTGAAGGAAGAGCTGAGGGACGGTGCCCAGGCCGAGTTCAGGCCCCAGGAGCGACAAAAAAGAAAAAAGAAAAGAATTCGTTCTAATTGTCTTTAGAAACAGTTGTGATGAGCTATGTATGGTACCATCTATGTAAAAAGTACATGTATATAGGTTTCACTTGTGTGTGCATTAGGACCTCTTTGGGAAGATGCACAATAAGTGGGTAATACTGGTTACCTGTGCATATATTTAATAAAAGCAAATAACAAACCTTACCTGGGTGTGGTGGTGCGTGCCTGTAATCCCAATACTTTCCTGAAGCAGGAGGAGATTGAGTTTGTACCAGCCTAGGCTACATAGTGAAAGCCTGTCTAAAATACTTATTATTTAAAAAAACAAAACAAAACAAAAACAACACCTTGCTATAGGTCATTCTATAGTGTCATCCTTATATGACCCAATAAAGTAATTGCTGTCTTGTTTTAGTTCTTCATTTCAAAATTTATTCTTATTTATGTAGCTCTTTTAAAGAATGAAATAGTTGCAACATACTGAAAATCATGATTTTCTGTTAGCAGATTATGAGTACTTAGACAGCAAGACTTATTTTTATTTCAATCTGTAAAATTTGATTTCTTCAGCAGTTGAGATCTGTGAAATAATATAAAATTTAATGCTTTAAATAATATTCTGTTGGAAGTAGTATGTTATCCTGACGGTCAATAAACCTTGCAGTTATTTGCGCTATTTACAAGTTAAGCTTCAATGAAAATTCCAAACGTGCCTTTTACTGACTATCCCAAGGGTAGATTTGTCTTCTGCTATAACGTCACAGAGGAAAAAAGCTTTATTCTAGAAAAAAAATGTCTGGTATATGTGTTCCCAGTGGATTCTTTTCCACCTCCACATCTTAAACTGTGTTCCCATCGAAACTTCCTACCTCAACCACTGCTAAAACGCTACTAGCTACCTTTGTTTTACTTCTAAAATTAAATAATGGTAATTGACCCATACTCTTGCTTATCTGATCTCCAGTCATTAATTATCTCAGTATGCCTGTCCTTAAGTTTACACTGTGAAACAGCATGTTTGGAGAGAAACATTCACTTACTGTTTATGTTGAATGGGTATCAAAAATTTTGTCCTTTATTCTAAAGACAGTAGAAAGGTATTAATATCTTTTAAACCTGGAAATAATAATACTAAATATCCTTACATAAACTATATGAGGTTTTTACTCTCACCACTTTTATGATTTTGATAATTTCACGTAGATACATTTAGCCTGAGAAACATGTCCCTGCACAGCTGTGTTAATCTGTTCAATCTGTTGTCTCTTCCATCTGTTCTACAACTACCTTTTATTTCCTTTCCTTTTTTTGTCCTTTGATGCCTCTAGTTCTCCTCTTCTGATGTATTAATGACTCTCACTTAGCATCTGTAGCAGTTGTTCAGCTCTACTGGTTGTACCTTATACTAAACAATTATCTAGACTAGATATATTCCATGTAAAGAAATGTTTTTTCTATCTGAAATAATGCAGGGACTGAGTGGAAGGGGCTACAAAAGTGATTTTCAAAGGTGACACTTTTGCCTGAAAGCTAGCTGTTTTCAGTAGTTGAATTTAAAGACTTATACCAACGTGTACATCAGATATTTCAGTTGTCATTTTGTGGGGATTTTTCTAATGACCAAATAGGATTATGTGTGAACAATAAATAATGGCATCTTATATATGATTACAGAAGAAAAGCATATTCTTAATTTAAGTTGAACAATCCATGCCAGGCAGTAGTGGCTCACACCTATAAACTTTATACTCAGGAGGCTGAGATTTGAGAATCCTGGTTAAAGCAAGCCTGGGCAGAAAAGGCCGTAAGACTCTTTATCTCCATTTATCTACCAGAAAGCCGGAAGTTTATCTGTGTCTCAAAGTGGTAGAGCACTAGCAAAAAAGCTTGGGGACAGCACCCCAGCCCTGGGTTTTAAGCCCCATGACCAACAACAACAAAAAACATCCAGCTATCCACCAGTTGGGTATTTGTGGCTCACACCTGTAATCTGGGACCCTCAGGAGATCTGAGGACTACAGTTTAAAGCCAGCCTGGGGCAAGAAAGACCTGGAGATTCTTATCTCCGATTAATCACCTGTAAATGGGAAGTGGCACTGTGGCTCAAAATGATAGAGCACTAGGCTTGAGTGAAAAAGCTTAGGGACAGCATCCAGGCCCTGAGTTCAAGCTCATGACTGAAAAAATAAATCCAATTATTTAATTTACACTTTTTACTTCACTAATTTAGGTATGGATGGCAGAACAGAAAATATCCTATGATAAAAAGAAACAAGAAGAATTAATGCAACAATATCTTAAAGAACAAGAATCATATGATAACAGGTAAGAAATGGCACCATGGCACCGTTTTTAGAATAAAATAATAAATTATATGAGATTAATCCCTTCCTGAATCATTCGTTACTCTCACAGGTGGCTGTTTCTTCAACTTTACCAACAATTCACATAAAAATATAGCTTCAAGTAACTTATATACAGTCTGTGAGCATGTTCTCAATGCAAAAGTTTCAGAAATAATAAATACCTATATTTGAACTGCTTAAAAAAGAATCTCTTTAACATATACTAAAATGAAAAAATTGCCAGGTGCCAGTAGCTCACGCCTATAATCCTAGCTACTCAGGAGGCAAAGATCTGAAAATTGCAGTTCAGTGCCAGCCTGGGCAGGAAGGTCTGTGAGACTCTTATCTCCAGTAAACCACTCAGAAAACCAGAAGTGAGGCTGTGGCTAAGTGGTAGCGTTCTGGCCTTGAGCTAAAGAGCTTATGAACAGCACCCAGGCCCAGAATTCAAGCCCCATGACCAACAAAAAAATAAAATGAAAAAATGTACAAGACACCTGTAAGAAGAAAATGAAACATCTCTTGGGCCATATGTCATGACTAGAGTTCATTGGTTTCTTCCAGCATGGTACCTGTACTTTAGCTGTTGTCACTTTGTGTTTACAACTGAAGCTAGTTTCTCTTGGTTAATGTATTAGAAATAGTGTTTTAGTTATGTAGTCTGTATTCTGAAGTTAAAGAACATTTATACCCATCTAAAACTTTAGAACATTCACCTTTTTCTGGACTTTTTTTTTTTTTCCGGTCTTGGGGCCTGAACTTGGCCTGGTCGCTGTACCTCAGCTCTTCAGCTCAAGGCTAGCACTCTACCACTTGAGCCACAGCGCCACTTCCGGCTTTTTTCTTTTTTGCTTATGTGGTGCTAAGGAATCAAACCCAGGGCCTCATGCATGCAAGGCAAGCACTCTACCACTGAGCCACTTTCCCAGTCCTTTCTGGACATTTTGATTCCCTGCACTTTATGACTTATGAATAATGCTGTTAACAATGACATAAAGGTATCTGTTAAAGTACCTGTTTTGAGTTATACTTAGAAGTGGAATTGCTAGACTATATGGCAATTCTAAGTTATTTTTTAAGAACTACCAAACTTATTTTTTAAGAACCACCAAACTTTTTTCCTAGTAACTGAACTAGTTTATGTTTTCCACTAGTAATACAGAAGAGTTTCAATAGCTCTATATCCTGAACATTTGCTTTTTTTTCTTTATTTAATAGCCATTCTGATGGGTATGAAGTAGTATCTTGTGGTTTGTTTTGATTTGTATTTCTCTAATGTCTAGTGATGCTGAGTTTTTGTGTACTTGCTTTAAAATTGTTTTAACTGATGTTAAAACAAAATTTACCAACCTATTTAAAGTATACATAGTTATCAAATATATTAGAGTTTGGGAGTCATCAGCATCATCTAATTTCAGGATATTTTCATCATTTGGGGAGAAAAAAATCTTTTTTTGGGGGGGTTCCGGTCATGGGGCCTGAACTCTGGGCCTGGGCGCTGTACCTCAGCTCTTCAGCTCAAGGCTAGCGCTCTACCACTTGAGCCACAGCGCCACTTCCAGCTTTTTTTTTTCTTATGTGGTGCTGAGTAATCGAACCCAGGGCCTTGAGCATGCAAGGCAAGCACTCTACCACTGAGCCACCTTTCCAGCCCATGGTTTTGAACCAGGATCTTCAGATCTCAGCCTCCTGATTTTTTTGGGGGGGGGTCCGGTCATGGGGCCTGAACTCTGGGCCTGGGCGCTGTACCTCAGCGCTCTACCACTTGAGCCACAGCACCACTTCCGGCTTTTTTTTTCTTTTTGCTTATGTGGTGCTGAGGAATCGAACCCAGGGCCTCATGCATGCGTGCAAGGCAAGCGCTCTACCACTGAGCCACCTTCCCAGCCCCAGAAAAAAATCTTTGTTTTTATGCTGGTATGGGATATTGCCCCTTAGTTTTTTCTCTCAAGGCTGGCACACTACCACTTGATTCACAAGTGGTTTTTTGGTGGTTATCAGCAATAAGAATCTCATAGACCTACTTGCCCTGCCTGGCTTTGAATAGCAATCCTCAGTCTCAGCCTCCTGATTAGCTAGGATTATAGGTGTGAGCCTAGCACCCAGCTGATAAAGAAATCTTGTGCCCTTTAGCAGCTACTCCCCATTTCCCAACATTGTCCCCTTTTATCAGTAGAGAAAAAATAATCATGAACCTAAAGCAATTACCAGCTTACTTTTTGTCTATAGAAATCTGCCAGTTTCGGGGCTGGGAAGGTGGCTTAGTGGTAGAGTGCTTGCCTTGCATGCCTGAGGCCCTGGGTTCGATTCTCCAGCACCACATAAGCAAAAAGAAAAAAAGCCGCAAGTGGCACTGTGGCTCAAGTGGTAGAGCGCTAGCCTTGAGCTGAAGAGCTGAGGGACAGCGCCCAGGTCCTGAGTTCAGGCCCCACGACCGGACCCCAAAAAAAAAAGAAAAAAGAAAAGAAATCTGCCAGTTTGGAGATACCATGTAAGTTAAATCATATAGGTCTTTATATGACTGCTTCTTTCATTTAGCATAATGTTTTGAAGTTCATCTATATATGATATATATCAGCACTTTGTTCCTTTATATTGTTGAAAAATATTCCAACGTATAGAAGTACATCCCTATAATCTTTGCTTCTAGCTTTCTTCTTTGTAGGTTACTTGACTTTTATTAATCAACTCGTTCAGTTTGTTGCATAGGTTTTGTTGTTGTTTTTCTGAACAGCCTAACATCTCAATATAAATGAAATCAAATGGCAAAGTTTTAGTGTTAGAATAGTAAAATGTGATTTTTTTTTTTAAGTATAGTAAGCACTAAATCATAGTAAGTAGCCCATTCTAGAATTTCTTTAAACTATTCTACATTGGTCTCACTAAAGAAGTTGATTCTTACTGACTTGGAAATTCTAGACCCATTTTTCAAAATTACGAAAGGGCTGACATCCTTTAACTTAATCAAGTCTATAATGACGTATAGACTTTCAAAGCTGTCAGTGTTTCAACAGTATTTCAAATTTTATGAAAATCAAGTAAGAGTATGCATATCATTTCTTACCCTTTTATTTGGAGAAACAGGAAGTCTTGGGTAAGAACAAAGTCTTAGAACTTACTAAAGTTACTAAAGAGGTATCACTGGTTTTCTTTTCAGATATTTCAGGTGTCCTCTGTAGTAAATGGAGTTTACTTTTAGATTTGTATCTCTAACAAAAAAATTTTTCTTCATTCCTTTAGTGTTTATATTGGAAAGAAGGATGGTAAACTTGTTAATGTTTTATTTAGATTGCTTATGGGAGATGAACGTGTAAAGAACGGCCTTAATTTCATGTATGAGGCTCCACCAGGAGCTAAAAAAGGTACTTGTCTCATTTCCTTTAAGTCTTCAACATGTTTACAAATAAAAATTGAAAACCGCTGATCAGATGTTTTTAAAAGTTGTTCTCTTGTAGATGCTGTTGTTGTGTGAATATAATGAATATAGAAATAGAAATGTATTCCTATAGATAAATACTAAAAATGTTTTTCTAATAATGTAATATTTTGTAGTAGCAGAAGTATGTTTATAAGTATATAGGTATGTTTATAAATAGAAATAGAAAACATGATATTCACTGTCGATGAAAACCATTAAAGTTTTAAAAAATTAGGAATTAACATACTTTCTAAGTACTGTCTCTTTGATATTTTATTCTTAGAGTGAGATTGATTTTTATCTTGTTTAAAAAAACTAATTCATACAAATTATAAATAACAATATACTTAATATATAGTTGATTTTTATATTGAAGTTTGTAACTTGGCCTACCTTTTTTCCCCTTTACTTTTGATTCTCAATCAAGAAAACAAAGAGGTAATGTACTATTTTCTGTTTGCATCTACTTAAAATTGATTGTGATTTTATGGAAAAGTTAAAAGAATTTTAAATTAATGTTTTAGAAAGAAGAGACAGAAGGAGAGACAGAATACAAATTTGAATGGCAGAAAGGAGCACCACGAGAAAAGTAAGGACTGATTGCTTTTAGGATAAAATATTGTTAAATATTGTTTACCTGCAATTTCACCTTACATCATTGTCTTTTATTAGAGAAAGTAAATAATATGAAAAGTATTTTCTGTGCATGTTTGCACCAGTTCTTGGCTTGAACTGGCCTCTCACTTTGCTTTTACACTCAAAGTTGGCACTCTGCCACTGTAGTCACGCTTCCAGTTTTGGCTTTTTACTGGTTAATTGGAGATAAGAGTCCCAAAGTTTGTCTGCCAGGACTGGCTTTGAGCCATGATCCTCAAATATCAGCCTCTTGAGTTAGAAGGATTATAGGCAAGTACTTTGGGTGTGTGTGTGCACGTGTGTGTGCACGCACCCACGCCAGTCTTGGGGCTTGAATTCAGGGCCTTAGTGTTATCCTTGAACTCTTGCACTCAAGGCTAGCGCTCTACCACTTGAGCCACAGCTTGACTTTGAGGTTTTTAGTGTTTAATTGGAGATGAGTCTCACAGACTTTCCTGCCTGGGCTAGCTTCAAACCCCAAACCTCAGATCTCAGCCTCCTGAGTAGATAGAATTACCAGTGCTGGCTCATTCTTTAAAAAAAAACAAAAACATGTAAGTTATCTTCAGACACAGTAGCTCAGGCCTGTAATCCCAGGTATTTGGAAGGGAGAAATTGTAAAGATCAAAGTTCAAAGCTAGCCTAGACAAAAATTTATCAAAATGCTATCTTAATAAATAAGTTGGGTATGTTGCTACATACCTATTCTTCCAACCACTGAGATATAGGTAGGAAGTTTGTGATCCAAGGGTCCAGCCCTAGTCAAAGATGTAAGGCTCTATCCAAAAAGTAACTAAAGCAAAACAAAGCTGAAAACATGGCTTATGTGGTAAAGTGTCTGGGAATCATGACGCTCTGAATTTAAACTCTAGTACTGCCAAAAAAAAAATCCCAAATTAACATTAAAGTATGTGTGTGTATGTCTGTGGTATATTATAGTTCTCTATACCTAATGAACTATGTAGAACTATAAATTCTACAGAACATTTCAGATGAACTTCCACTGAATTTATTAAATTATTCTTGATATTGTACTTACATTTTTTTTTTTATTTAACAGATATGCCAAAGATGACATGAACATCAGAGATCAGCCCTTTGGTATTCAGGCAAGTGACACATATTTAACTCCTTAAGAATAATGTAGCTGGTTGCTGGTGGCTCACGCCTGTAATTCTAGCTACTCAGGAGGCTGAGATCTTAGGATTAAGATTCAAAGCCAGCCCAGGCAGGAAAGTCTGTGAGACTCTTTATTTCCAATTAACCACCAGGAAACCAGAAGTGGTACTGTCTCTTTATTTCCAATTAACCACTAGAAAACCAGAAGTGGCACTATGGCTCAAAGTGGTAGAGTGCTTGCTTTGAGCAAAAAAGCTCCAGGATAGCACCCAAGTCCTGAGTTCTAGCTCCATAACCGATTAAAAAAAGAACATTTATGCTGGGCACTCACTGGTGGGTCATTCCTGTAATCCTAACATCTCAGGTAGCTGAAATCTGAGGATTAAGGTTCAAAGCCTCCCAGGCAGGAAAGTCCTTGAAACTCTTTATCTTCAGTTGACCATCAAAAAGCTGGAAGTGGAGCTGTGGATCAAGTGGTAGAACAATAGCCTTGAGCAAAAAACCGAGGGACAATATCCAGACCCTGAATTGAAGCCCCAGTACCACCACACACAAAAAAAGAAAGACAAGGAATAACACTTACTTAGTAAATATGTCTTTACATTTTTTTTCTGAAAGGTATCTAAACTGAAAAGAATGGTGTGGTTTTTATATTTATATCAGATAATCCTAAGAATAGGAGAAAGCAACTATGGTAGACTGAATAAGAATGAGAATCAAACTTCTGTAGTGAGGATTGTAATAATACTCACTTTTCAAATATATTGGAGAATTAGCCTTAAACATGAGAAAAGTTCTAAAACTTCCTTATTTTTTTAGAAGCAAGTTGCACTATCACCAGAGAGCTAAATCCTTGTAACAAAAGTGGTAATATTGCCTTGCTTATATGTGTTGCCTACAGCTGCTTTCCTACTACAGCAGTTTGAGTAGCTGCTATAGACTCAAGCATCTAGTCTAATGAACCTAAAATATTTACTATCTGAACTTTTATGAGAAAAGTTCGCCAACCTCTCATTTGAACTTGGTAGGGATGGAGATGTCTTTCAGTAGCAGGGTACTTGCCTGCTGTGTGTGACACACTGAGTTCATCTTCAGCACCAAATAAAAATAGAAACAAGAACAAATGTCTTACATAGTGGTTCATGCCTATAATTCTTACCCAGGAAGCTAATGTAAAATGATTACAAGTTTAGGGCAGCCTGAGCTACATAGTAAAAAGAGATGGGTGGGATTAGTGAATAAATGAACGAATGTACTTGAAAGGTTAAGGTTAACTTCTTAAAACGAGGGAAGTTATGAGTAAACCATGATATAATACTTGTTTGGGTCTTTTTCCTTTTTGGGTGATGTACTATAAGAGAAAGAGGATTCAGTTTAGTTATTTTTATCTTACTTTAATTATGTTTATTTGAACATGCTAAAAACGGGGGTTACGGTTATATACATCAAGAAAAGAGTACATTTCCTTTTGGACTATTAACATAGTCCCTTCCCTCCCTCTCTCCCAGTTTTTCCCCCTCGTCCCACCCACAAGTTGTATAGTTCACTTTCAATATAGTGTCCAGTGAGTACCAGGGCTGCCATTTGTTTATACTTTGTCTCTCCATTTCTGTGCCTTTCCTTACTTCCAGAGACATATAGACAAACAAGACAAAAAGAAAACAAAAACAGCAAAAAAAAAAAAAGCCTCTTGTTTCTTTTTCCTAGAGTTCACTTTGATAAATATTATTTTGTATGATTAGATGTATATAGGCATTGGGCCTTTCTGTTCCTCTTCTAGGAATGTCCTCTTTTGGCCTTACTGTGAATGCCTAGAGACCTGGATTATTTATTATGTCCCAATATATTTTAGGTCTAGCTTTCATATATGGAAGAAAGCATATTTAGTTTTTTGTTTTTGTTTTTTGTCGATAGTGGGGCTCGAACTCTGGGTGCTATCCCTCAGCTCTTCAGCTTAAGGCGAGTGCTCTAACACTTGAACCACAGAGCCACTTCTGGTTTTCTTAGTGGTTTATTGGAGATAAGAGTCTCACGGAGTTTCCTGCCAGGGCTGGGTTTGAACCACAATTCTCAGATCTCAGCCTCCTGAGTAGGTAGGATTATAGACCTGAGCCACTGACACCTGGCACATGTTTAGTTTTTAAAGCAGAAATCATAGTATTTTATTTTAGTATTTGTATTTAGTTACTTACCATAGTGTTAGAGTCTTTTTCCCTGTAGATCTATTTTTTGTGTGTGCCAGACAGGGACTTGAACTTGGTGTCTTGTGCCCTCCCTTGGCTTTCTTGCTCAGGAGTGGTGGTGCACTATCACTTGAACCATGCTTTTCTGCTGCTTATTTTGGAAAGTCTTGTAGATTTTTCTGTTGGGACTGATTTTAAAACATGGTCCTTCAGATCTCAACTTCCTGAGTAGCTAGAATTACAGGCACTAACCCACTAGCAGCGCCCAGCTTAGAT